CTCCTCCCCCATTCCATTCCCTAAGGACACACAGTGAAGCTCACCCTGGGGTGACCCAGCATCAAATTCTCTCTTGACCCCGGGGCCTGGCATCCCATGGGAACGCGTGGGTGTGCCGGGAGGGAGATCAGAATGAGAGGAAGCTAACTGCGCTTTCTGCTGGTTATAAATCCAGCTGCAGATTCTCAGGGAAAGAGAACCACCCGTCCATCCTTTTCCTGCCACCAGGGAGCCGCGGAGGAAACTCTTACACTGGGTTAGGGGAGGGATTTGCCTTTATTTTTAATTTGTGCCAATATCCAAGAAAGCGGCACTTTATTTTGAGCTCATCATGCAAGGAGGAGCCTCGGGATCTGGCACAGGAGACAAACTTTCCTAGCCTGATTTCCCAATGCAAATCTCAGAGCAGAGGCTGAGCCAGCGCCCCTCCCTCCCTCCCTCCCTCCTTCCTCCCGCCCTCCTCTGGGCATTTCTCTGAAGCTCACCAGGAGGAATAATCAGATTATGTCGCTGGGTTTTAAAAGATCATGGTTTGTCTCATTTTCCAGGGAAGTGTGAACAAAAAAATAAATAAGTAAATACATTTTTTTCCTCCCAAGGCTCTGTGAAGAGCTTGCAGAACTTAATTCAGTGTTAAATGGGAGTAATTTGGGAAGCTCATGCATTATTTCTTAATTTCTTGGTGGGGCGTGTGCGCGCATCTGCTGAGGCAGGCTGCATGCGGACAGATGCGTGGCGATCGCGGCGTGTGCGCCCCTCACGGGCGCGGGAGGGGGAGAACGGGCTGCGTGCGAGGTGCTCCATTCATTCAGGGTTGACGCTGGAAAACATGGGGCGAGGCGCTTACATTTCATGACTCCTGCTTTTCCGCCTGGATGGCCAGGAAGAAGGCTGCTGCGTTCCTAAAGGGGGATTTCATCATCCCCCCCCCCCTCAGCCTCTGGATGACATCCACCACGTCTGGTTGAATGTCCTTGGCTTTCAAGGGCACCTGACTCTTTGGGTGACCTTGACACAACCCCAGCCTGCTCTGGGTCTCAGTGTCCCTATCTGACTCTGTCTGCCCAACCCACCAACCAGGCTATGGAGAATTCTGCTTCCATGGTAAGGCGCTGTTGCTGCCTTTCTGGCTCTTTCAGAGGCTCAAGTCCCTGAGTTGCCAGGGACAGGGGAAGTGAATATGCCCAGGAAGACCCCCGAACACCCTAACCTGGCCCCAGCAAGAGTAAAGGAGAGAGGGTTTTGCCACAACCATGCCAAACTGGGGGACCGAGACACATGAGCAAAGGCCAGCAGAGGTGGGGTGCCGGAGAGCCCCAGCTCTCCATTCATACATTCGGTCATCAAACAGGGACTGAGCCCTGATCACATCTAGACAGGGAACTGTCTGAGCACAAGTCTGAGCAGCCTTAGGTTCCCTTTCACCTTCCTACAGAGTCACATACACAAAAGGGGTCACATGCTGACTACAGGGTCCAGGAATACAATGTGTGCTGATGGAAGGCAGGAAAGGAGGGTAGGGGAGAAAAGAAGGAGGGAAGGAAGAGATGAGGCTCCTCTTGCCAGGCCCTAGGCAGAGTGATAGCAATATATACAAAGCAGGTGACACCTGGGTGTCCCCAGAGGGCCCAACCCAGGGCGGGCAGATCTCTTTCCTCACCTATACTGGCTGCCGGTGTTCAGGGCCCCACCTTACAGAATGGTTAGGAAGTGATGCCCCACCATTCTTAGAGGTTGACTGTTATCTCAGGGGCTCCCAAAAACAGCAGCAGGGAAAAGCCACTCTGGCGGAGCTAGGGAAGATGCTGAGTTTATTCTAAGATCCATGCAAGTCAGGTGTGTGAATCAACAAGGGAGAAGACAGAGCAATGGAGACTGAGTCAATAGAGGTAGGGTGTCCTGAGAGGGGAAGTGATATTTTACTTCCAAACCTAAGATAAGCCACTCGGAGTCAGCCCACAGAAAGTAAGGACAGTGACCAACCATCAGCTGTGGCCACTGCACTGTCTGCAGAGCTACCACCATGCCATGGTAGGGCTTCAGGTGATGTGGCAGGCTGGTGAGAAGCAGGACCCTAGCTGGACGACTTATCAGCAACCTCTGGGAGCCTGGTTTTCATCTGTACAGAAAAAGCTACAGCTCAAGGAGTTGGTGTGAGGATGAGGGAGAAGCTGGGACTCCAAGTCCGCTCAGCACGCACATGCCTGGTGCACAGACGGCCTCCCTCTGGGCCTTCACTGCCAAGTGCATCCAACCGCTGTGAGGGTGCAGCCATGAGCCTGTGTCAGCGAAGTCATTTACTGCAGACAGCTGACGCAGCCAGGCCTGGTGTCCACCTGCCACCTCCCCCCTACAAGCCAGGGCTGGGGTATTAGGCAGCTGTCCCCTGTGCCGAAGTGGGGTGGCCACAGAGGATGGCTACCAGGGACTGTCCTCCATGGTTGAATGTCCTAAACAGGAGAACACAGATTCACCCCCATGTGCCAAACCAACAGCACCCCACCCTCGTTCATCTCAACCATGGGCTCCCACCCAGAGGCCCTAGCTCCATGCCTGGTCTCCCTCCTAGCCGTCCCACCTGCTCTCGAAGCCTTCACCCAGGTACCTTCTAGCCGAGTCCCTCCTGCTTCTGCAGCTTTGCTGGGGGAAAGTCTCTGTCCTGGACACCCTCTCCTCCTCCCTTCTGGTGGATTCACGCTTGTCTTTTGGGATCTGATTCCCCAAGTCCGATCCCTCCTGTGCTGTACTGGGCAGGAGCTCCCACTTGTACCCAATGCCCCAGCCTACCTCGGCTCAGCTGGAAGGGACTCCTTATCAGCTTCGTCAGAAACTCGCCAGGGCAGAAACTGACCCTGGGTGGTGAAGAAGGGCAGGGAAGGAACAAAGGCTGGACGATAGCGGGTGATCAGGGAAAGGCCCTCAGCCACTCTGACTCCAGGCAGGGCCCACTCACTTTCTCTCTCACCCATAAGGGTGGCCCTGACCCCACCCTGCCTATCCACTGCAGCTGCCTGGATAATTCAGGGCGGGTGACCTAGGAGAGCAGGGGATGGGATGGACACACACACACACACACACACACACACCCTCCAAACCAAACTTCAAACTGCTTCCCTCACCTGCCCTGTCAGTCAGCATTGCCTCCCTGAGGCCTGGGACAAGAGCCAGGGAACCCAGCCTGACACTTTCAGCTTGAGACGTGAGGGGCGGGATTTCCTGGCTGCAGAACTTTCTGGTCACCTCTCTTGCTCCACCTCCAGCCAGGATAGGCACAGCAAACAGCCCCTCTGGAGGGATTGCTGCTTGCTCACAGGGAGGTGTCCTACATTGAGTGGTCAGTGGGAAGGGAGTGAGGGACCCCAACTGTGGACAACCCTGACATTTAGGGTTGGCACCAGGTACCAAGTGCTGAAACCTCCAGTCAATCCCCCAGCCGGCCTGGAGGTGAACACTTTCAAAGGTTCCCATGGGGCAGGCTGATTTGTGAGCCCATGTGGACAATCAGAATCAGGCGGGGAACAGAGGGTGATGGAGAGTAGAACTTCCCATCAGGCTGGCCGGTAATCCAATCACAGCCCAAAGTGAAAGTACAGGATGTAAGTGGCTAAGGACATCTTAGACAATGCCAGGACCAGGCCCTCAGTTTACAGACTAGAAAACTGAGGTCTTGAGAAGGTTGGGGCAGCTGCCTGGGGTCACATAGCCATCAGCACACAATGAAAACTTGAGAGGTTTTCTCTGTGTCACCTCATAGCCACCTTCACAGTAGTGGGGAAAGGAAAAAAAAAACAAAAAACCTCCCATTCTATGTTACAGATGAGGAAACAGAGGAGTCGAGAGCCTTACTCAAGGTCACACAGCCAGGGAGAGAGGGCTGGAGGGGTCCTGAGAGTTTCCAGGCAGCCGGGGATTCCCTGGGCAGGAGCACTCACTAAGCTAGGGGACCAGAGGCCCGAGAGGTGGGGGAGACATAAAGACGCCCAAGTACACACTCTCCGACTACATTATATAACCCCCTTACAGTGGATTGCCCCAGAGGTTGGGCTGGGGCAGCTAGCGTCCACCCAGCCGTGCCCTGTATGGGCGACCCCCCACCCCCCTGCATGGACCGGGTCTGGCCCAGCAGCCTGGCTACTCGCTCTTTCTAAAGAGATAACAGTTGGAGGCGCCACGGTGCGCTAGCTTTTTGTTTATCCCCCTTCTTTTTCCCTCTGGCTGAGTAACAAATACCAATACTAATAATGATAATAATAATTAGAATAAATATAACCTGGAGACGCTTGGGGGTCTCGTTGCTATGGCAACCGCTGGCGTTAATGAGCTTCCGAGGCCGGCCACCCTGCCTCGGGCGCGGGCTCAATATTGACTCGGCCCTGAGAGGCGGCGGCTGCTCCGCCGGGAGCCACGCGGCCGGCCGGGACCAAGGGGCACGCACTTGGGAGAGGGCCTTCCCCGTCCCCCGTGCCACCCAGCTGGGACCCCTTGGAAGCTGCGGGGTCCGCCAAGTGGCTCCAGAACGCTGTCCGGGGCACCCCGGGTTCCCAGTCCGCTGCGCTCCCGGACTTGGTCCGTGGACACTGGTCCCCACCGCGGACGCGGATTCCGGTCCCGGCTGTCGCGTCCCGGCACAACATGCCCCGGACTGTTCCCCGGCCCCGGCCCCTTCCTCTCCAAGACTCAGCGATCCCGACCTTCAGGAAGCCCGGTGCGAACCCCAAAGCCGGGGCACCAGCTGCCCCGCACGGCTGCTGTCCGCAGCTTCGATTCTGCGCTGGCCGTTCCCGGCCCCTTTCTGGGGAGCCCTGGACCCCAATGCACCTTACGCGCCTCTCGCTCGCGCGCCCCGACTCCGACCCCCAGCGCCGCAGACCCCGCCCCCGGCGTGGGACCCTCCTCCACCACGAGCTCCGCCCCCGGCCCCTTTGCCGACGCGCGGGGACCCCGGCCCGGGCCGCCCCTCCCCCGCGCGCTCTCCGCCGAGTCCGCCGGGCGCCGCTCACCTCGTGCCCGCGCCGGTCGCTCCTCGCTCCGCAGCCGGGAGCCGGCGCCCGCGGGAGCCGCCTGCTGGGGCGCGGGGCTGCCCACGCCCCCGCCGTGCCCCCGCCGTGCCCCCGCCGCCGCCGCAACAGTTGTCCGGGCTCCGGGGGCTGCGGGGACTCCGGGCTCTGGGGATGGGGCTCCGGGGCCGGCACCCACTCCTAGGCGCGCGGGGCGCGGCGCGGCGCGGCACCCGGGCTCCGGCCGGTGGTCCGCCGCACGCCCTGCGCCCGACCCCGCGCGGCTACTCGGCCGCCCCGCCACCCGCCGGCCCCGAGCCCGCGCCGCGCCCGCCGCCGCCGCCGCCCGCTTCACTTTGCCGCGCCGCCCGCCCCGCGCCCTCTGCTGCCCCCTCGCCGAGCTCGCGGCGCGCGTCCTGCCCTCGCCGCCCGCCCCGCGCCAGTCCCGCTCGCCAGCGCCCCGTCCTCGCTCCCGATCTCTCTCTCTCTGCCTTCTCTCTCCTGTCTCTCCCCCGAACCGCTCTCTTCTCTCTCTCCATTCGCCTTTCATTCTCAATCTCTTTCGCTCTCCTCCCTTGTTTTCCTGTTTTCTTTGCTATCTCTCTCCTTTTCTTTCTTCTCACTTTCTCTTTTTTCCTTCCTACCCTCCCTCCTTCACTCCTTCATTCTCTTCCTTTGCCTTGTTTCTTTCTTCCTTAGTTCCTTCCCTCTCCTCTTTTCCCTCTTTTCCCTCCCTGGCCTCTGACTATGTCCCTACCCACACCCACCTGCCTCCTTCCCACCTGCTCCCCAGCCCTGGGCCAGGACCAGTTCTTTGGCTGCACAGCTCTGACTCTGCACCCCCTGTAAGACCCTACCCCTCTGCTGCCAGGCAGGCAGACCCCTGCCCGGGCAGCCTGTCTGGCATCCGTGAGCCTTCCAGCTGCTCCACGGTGTTATTCCTGCCACCCTGCCCCTGAGCCAGGTGGTCACTATCAGGGTCAGAGGGTGAGACAGCTTCCTGTAGGACAAGGTCCTCTGCCCAGGCTTTTGATGGGGAAAGTCTGCTTCCCTGACCTCCTGGGCCTCACCCTGGCTCTACTGAGCTGCTCCCATTTCCTGTGTGAACCCGTTTCATCCCTCATCTGCAGGACAAGGCTGTGCTGGACTCTGTGGCCTCAGACCAGTGAACATCAGTTTCCTTACTTCCTGGGTCCCTGTCTGGGTGACCTCTAGCTGTGAAAGTTCTTGAGAGGCTCATAGTCACCTCCTTGGCGCCCCCCAAAAACAATAGCCATTGCTCCTTGGATAATGGGCTGGAGCCCCCTGGAAGGCAGCCCCCAGTCCCTCCCACGGGCTCCAGCCCCACTCTGCAGCTTGGCTGTGTTTGATTTTGCCTTCACAGACTTTGCCCCAACTATGTTTATTCCTCATGTGGCACTGGGTGGTGTCTCTCCCATTTGACAGATGAAGCTACCAAGCATCAGAGAGGTCAGGCCACACAGCTGGCAAGGGGCAGAACTGGGACTCCAGCTCCCAGCTCAGACCCCTATCTTTGCCTCTCCCCAGGTGACATTATTAACATGGAGGCACTTTTCAAGGACAGAGGTTCCCCTTTGGTTTGCTGAGGAAGCTGAATGAAGCAGTATGTCAGCGAGTGCTGGGAACAGCTGGGCGCTGAGGGCCAGGGTCCACACCATGATTCGCATTCACTTCCAGAGCTAGGTGCCTGAGGCACCAGCTGGAGGGGTGTGGTGCCAGGGTACTCCCCAGACTGACATCACTGGGGCCTTGGTGTCCTCATCTGTCACACAGGCATCCATACCCTTCTCTTTTCAGTGGATGTCTGAGCAGATACCCTGGGATGGACACTGAACCCACCTGATGGACCAGACACACAGGCCCTGTCCACGGGATCCATCTTCAACCAATGGCAGGGGACACCAGAGCAGCCCACTCAGTCATTGGGAGAGGGTGGCGGAGTTCTTTGTGTTACGGTCACGGGTGCGGAGTAAGACACATGAAGTACTTCATCCCGCATCTAGCAAGCCAGCCCAGGGGGAACGGTGGCCACCCCACGCAGAACCAGAGGAGGCAAGACAAGTTGAAGGTCCTAGGAACCAGGGTGTGACTGGAGGTGCAGCCAGGCTGACTCTGACTTTGTTCCTTGGTGAGTTGAGGTTCGGGTCCTCGAGTTCCCTGCAGGGTGAGGCTGTGCCCAGGGGACACTCAGGGTTTTAGTGACAGTAAGGGGCACCACAGCAGAGAGACCCTGGCTTATTGGGGTGGGCTGAGGGAGGGTGGTGTGTGTGTGTGCTAATGAGAATATAGTGTGTTGTGTGGTTTCTGTGTTGTGTGTTTTGTATGTGCGGTGTGTTGGGGGTGGTGAGCATATGATAGGGTATGTGGGGTGGGTGCTGCAAGTGTTGTGTGTTTTGTGTGTGGTGTGGATGTAGGGGATGTGTTGTGCGTGTGTGAGGTGTGGGTGTAGTGAGTGTATTGTGTGTTTTGTGGCTGGATGAGCGGTGTCTCCCCTTGCAGGATGTGTGCCCATGGAACCCCACACGTGGAGTGGCCATGGGTGTTCCTTACATGGGTGATGGCTAGGTGTCCACTTGTGAGGGATCTTTGCGTGTGGCACATGTGGGAAGCTGCATTTTCCATAGTCATCCCTCCCTCCCCTCTGTCGCTATCACTCAGCTGGCTCTCTGCCACCTGGTCTGTGCCAACACCCAGGGGTATGCAGAAGTCACAGCCTTGAAGCTCATGGCGCACGTTCCATTCCACAGGACACAGCACAAGCTCCTGCCCTACCCTTGCCTGTGGCCCACCCTTCGCAGCCCGCACCTGCGCCAGCTGCACCATGGCCTCCTTACACCTCCATGAGAACCCCCATGGGGCTCTGGAACTTTGCCTGGCCTTCTCTGCCATAAAAAAGTCCCCACTGTGGAAAAAACCACTTAGCCTCCCCGAGCCTCAGTTTCCTCATCAGGATTAAATGAGAGACAACAGGTGACAGTCGTGTTGATTGACTCAAAACAAGCGAGCACCGGCATTCAACAGTCCTTGGTCCTGCTGTTCGTTCTGCCCTTCCAGGAGGCTGAGAGGGGCAGGACAGGGGCTTTGGAGCAGATGAATCTGGGCTTGAATCTTGCTGGGGCCCTCCCAGTATGCCATGGCAGGCTGGGCCACTTCTACCAGCCTCTGTGCCCTGGGGTCCCGAGGCTGCTGTGACCAGTGACCATGAACTTGGCAGCTTAACAAGACACACGTTTATTCTCTTACAGTAATCAGTTTCACTGGGCCAAAGGCAAGGCACATGCAGGGCCGTGCTCCCTGTGAGGAGGGTCCTTCCTGCCCCATCCAGCTCAGGGGATTGCAGCTGGTGCTTGGCTAGTGACCACATTACTGTGGTCTTCAAGACCAGCAGCTTCAAGCCTTGTTCTGCTCCTGTCCATGTGGCCTCCTTTGCTGAAGCCCTCTGCCTCCCTCCTAGGGTCCACATGACGCGTTAGAGGCCACCCAGGCAGTCCCAGATCATCCCCTATCTCGGCATCCTTAACGTCAATCCCATTTGCAAAGCTTTGTCCCTTCTTGCCACATAAGGGACTGGCCAGGGCTCTAGGGATCGGGACCGTTTCTTAGCCTCCCTGCTCTGTGCATCTGCAGAGGCAGGCTGCTGGAGAAGGCTCCGGGCCACGGTGAGGATAGGAGGCAGGCACATCCGTGGTCTGGCCCCTCCAACCGGGGCTGGGCTAGGAGACGGGGAGGTAACTGCCCAGTGACTGCCATGGGTGCAGCCCCAACCCCATTTCTGGGGCACCTGCTGTGTGAGCCCCCCATGCTGTAATCCTCCCTCCTTATTTACTACTGCTCTCCTGCAAACGCGGCTGCTCGCCGGGCGGGCGGGCTGGCGGCCCGGTGGTGGATGGGTGGTGGATGACTCACGCTCTCCTCTCCTTTCTGCGGAGCAGCCTTTTCAAAGGGCTGGCTGGGGAGGAAGCTAAATTTGAAGCCAGGCGGCCTGAGAAGATCACCTGCCATTTAATTAGAAGTTGGGGGCGTGAAGCATTTCACTTCAGTCCCCCTGGACCTTCCTCTGAGAGGGAGGGCTCAGAGGCCAAGGCCCCCCTGAGGAGCAAGGAAGGGGTCTGCCAGCTGGCCCTATGTCGTCCATGGGTGCACAGGCCTCCCCCTCCTCCTTCACAGAGGGGCCCCCACCTCTCAAGACCTTCCAGTCCCTTCCTTCTTCTGCTTCAGGATCTTGGGGCTCTGACCCAGGCCTCATGTCACTAATTCAAGAAGGACTCAGATTTAGCGGCCCCTTCCTGAGTCATGGGTGAGGATGTGACTGTGCCTGGATTTGAACTCTGCTGGCTCTGGTTGTGTGCTGGACCACGTGGTCATTCTGCTTGTTGGACCCAGTAGGGGAACGGGACGCCATCTGATTCCTTCCTCACCCACAGTGGGTAAAAGGCCCTTGCCAGAGCAAGTGCATCAAAGGGCTCTGGAGGGTGCAGAGCTCACCCCACTTTTTTCTGGGAATGGGTGGATGTCCTGAGGTAGGGAGAGCTTCCCTGTGCCCTGGAGGATGGAGGGAGTTAGGGCAGCAGCTGAGCTTCTGCCTCCAGCCCTGCTCTGCTTGGAGCACAAGGGCTACTGGGCCATCAGCATACCATGCCTTCATCAGCAGGTGGGGCCAGCTGCCCATGGCTGTTCCTGTCTCCCAAGTGACCAAGGTAGCCAGGCTTCACAGCACAGATCAGCTGGAGGCAGGGCTTCCCAGTGGTTAAGAGCGCTGGCTGTGGTGTCGGTGCTGGGTCTGAACCTGAATGCTGCTGAGGCCTGCATATGTGTGAGCTCAATGTGCCCATTGGTGAGGTGGTGTGGGGCTGCCTGCCCAGCCTGGTCCTCAGGCCAGCACAGTGCTGACACAGCAACTCCTCTGCTTACAGACCCCTGTAGTCATGCCTGCAAGATGGAGCTGGGCTCCTTGTGTGGCATTCACCTGGGAGGGAACAGGTACTGCCCCACCAGTGTGGAGGGAGCCGGTGGCAAGTGTCCTGCCCCCTGCTTGGGACACCTGGTTCAAACAATGGGCAGAGCTCCCAGGGACAAGCCCAGACCCAGAGCTGCCCCGGCCTGCCAGCCCCTAGGGCCTCTGGCTCCAAACCTATGGTGCTCCCCCAAAGTCATCTGCCACAAGAGGGCAACAGGGAGCCAGGAGGGCTGGAGAGAGGGACACCCACTTCACTTCCCCAAGCCAGGGTCTGAGTCCTGTGCTTGGCCTCCCAAGCCTCAGTTTCCCCATCTGTACCCCCTGTCACTGACCTTAACTCCCATATAGATAGCACTAGGCTTTATTCTCAGAGTATTAGGTCATGGCAAGCCCATAGGAGGTGCTGTTAGAACCTGTGTCATAAACAGTGTCACAGGTTATGAGCTGAGAATAGAGGTGACAGCCCTGCTTTGATGCCAACTGGCTCCCCCATACTGGCTGGTGACCTGGACAGGTTGCTACCTCCCATGCCACATTTTCTCACCTGTAAGCCACAGCGGGCAGGGAGGCTC